GACTTATAAGTGCATTACCGCCACCTATCTCTCAAATGGACCATTGACACGCTATCTACAATCTCCTGATTAACCTATCAACCCACACACAAACACCATTCTTGTACCCGCTTAGAGTCTTCATAGAGCTTCATTTGGCGCTGCGTGTTCAGCTCCTCCGTCCACCCTCTTAAACGGCATTTGGAAAGAGAGAGAAAAAAAAAACACTTATACTTGTTTGTTCAAACCAGTTCTTCCCAAATACTGTAACAATGATTTAATGTTTCTTCCTGGATTTAATACATTCTTAATTATAAACTGCTCACCATTATTCTCTAGTTCATCCTTCAACTAATTTCTTTCAACAGTATATTTCCTACAGTACATTATAACATGTTCAACTGTTTCATTAACGTCACATACCTCACATAGCCCTGTTGGATGTTTACTTATTAAATGCATTGTACTGTTCAACCTTGTATACCCCAATCGCAACCTTGTAATCATGTTCTCCTCCGTCTGCTCCAACCTGATACTCTTCCCTTATCCACTGTTGATTGTATTTGATACAAATGCCTACCTTTGGTATCTATGTCCCAATACTGCTGCCATAATTTCCAAATATTCATTTTGATAATTGATTTAATTTCTGACCTACTAAGAGGAATCTGAATATCAACTATTTCTCGTTCTATGGCCTTTTTTGCTAAATTATCTGCCTCTTCATTACCTCTCAACCCAATATGTGCCGGTACCCACAGAAACTGAACTTCTATACTATTTTGCTTAAGTGAATATAATTCTTGAAAAATCTCTATTATCATATCTTGTCTTGTTTCTGACTTCTGCTCATTCAAACTTATTAGGGCTGAACTTGAATCTGAACATATTACTGCCTTGGATATTTTAACTTCACTAATCCACCTTATTGCCATAATTATTGCAAACATCTCTCCAGTGAACACTGATAAACAATCTGATATTCTACTGCTCTTATTTACTTTTAACTTCGGTATTACAAATGCAGAGCCCACGTGACCTGTTTTTGGCTCCTTTGAGGCATCTGAAAATGTGCATATATTCTCCATACCTTGACCCCATATATTCCCTTACATCATATACCTCGGTTTCGTAAGCACCTTCCTTTTGCCTTCTTTCTAATAAACTTAAGATCTTCTTTAAAGTCTCCGGTTTCGAAACTAAAAATGATAACAGGAAGTTGTGCAGAAGTCCGCTTGCGCTTTATAGTGCATTCTGGGAAATGTAGTTAACAGCAGCAGTTTCTATCACATGTGTAACCATGCTACTGATTAAAAGAACTACAACCCCCATCAGCCAAACAGCCCGTATTAGGTCGACGTGTATGTTCGCTCAGTCAGAGCAGATACTGAATGAACATCTCTTATACAAATATCCATAACATATTGGGTTGGAAACATGGCCGGGGAAATGTCCATAATAGGTAAGTGTTAAATTAAACTAATGTACTCCTAAATAAATATGTCAAATTTAACAGAATAACCATCTATGTAGCGTTTAGCTAGAAATAGCACTGACGCATCTGTCATGAAAGTAATAACTGACTGTACGTGGATAACTACCGGTACATTAGACAGACAGATAGATATATTGTCCAACTTGAGACGAAAAAGTCCAAAAAAATGTACGCCATTTCTAGACACAGCTGGCGTCCGTTCTTTATACTACACATGTTACAGCGGCTGTTTCAACATCTAGTTAGCTAACGTTACCTATCTAGACAGCGTGCTTGCGCATCAACTCACCAGGAATATGGTCTAGAATTGCCTTGTTTTATTTTTTCTACATACCACGTTTTTGGATAATATAATTTTGTAATACATATGAACGACATGCGTATAGCAAACATTAAGTTTTATGGTAGCCTATATAACGAAAGAAACATTTCCTGATTTCACAATTTTTTCTTAGTCATATATATTTTTGTGTGTCCCTACAGGTTCTGTTATCCTGGCTTTGTTCCTGGCAGGATACCTGGGACAGCAGTACCTACCCCCTCCGAAGCCCAGGGTCATTGGGTTAGATCTTGGGACCACTTTCTGCTCTGTGGGAGTGTTTCAGCCTGGCACAGGCGAGATTGAGGTTATTGAAGATGACAAAGGTCGCAACAGCATTCCGAGTGTGGTGTCATTCACCCCCACCGGTGTGTTTTCTGGACATGAGTGCCAGGAATTGTCTGACATAAATCCTCAAAACACAATTTATGATGCCAAGAGATTTATAGGGAAGATTTTCGATGAAGACACTTTAGAGAAAGAGAGCGCACGATACCCGTTTAAGGTACACATTTCATATTTTACAGTCTTTAATTGCTCTAGCACTGCTTACAGTGTCTCTAACATTTTCTTTACTATTTTAGGTGATATTCAACAACAGGAGTGCAGAATTTTTAGTCTCTACAAATAGCACCTTCACAGTTACTCCTGAATTCATCGGATCCCGTCTCCTGC